CACCTCATCTCTTCCTTCCTAGTTTGGGTCATTATATTCAGGCCCTTTATGGCAGTGTTTCTCAACCTTGGCAACTTGAAGATGTCCGGACTTCAACTTCCAGAATCCCCCAGCCAGCTATCTACGTCAGCGAATGCTGGCTGGGGAATTCTGGGAGTTGAAGTCCGGACATCTTCAAGTTGCCAAGGTTGAGAAACACTGTCCTATAGGTTGCTAATGTGATCGTGACTGACTTTACGACCCACTTTGTAGTGGTTGTAAAGTGAACCCTGTGGTTGTTAAGTGTAGCCATTGTTAGCTATGGGGCATTTTTTTAAAAATGGGAAACTGGAAATAAATAAGTTTGCTCTCAAAAGCATAAATCATGCTGTCAATCTGTAAAGGCAGGCAGCTGTAAACAAATCTCAGCCTGTTGCCGGGCCCAAAATGTGGTCACATGACCACAGGGGTTGCTGGGAAATCTTTGGAACTTCAAATCCGGGGCAAAAGCACCTTTTCCTGGGTGTGATGTAACTTTGAAGGGTCGCTAAGCGACCAGTTGTAAATCGAGGACTGGAGGCTTCTTGAATTGCAGGGTTCCTGGGCTCCGTTGAAGAGTTCCTTTAAAGATGAAGCTGTTTGCAAACCCTGGAGTGTTTGCCGATACGGCCGTCACACACCGGGAACTTACCAGCACGGGATGCAGTTGAAATCTGCTCCCAGGGCCGCCTCCTCGAGCAGAGGGTTCGGCTAGGAGACCTCCAAGGTCCCCCCCAACTCTGGAATTCTTGCTTGTATTTTTTCAATGTAAAAAACATGAATTTTAAACAAAACTCCTTACTTTTCTGTTCCTCTCTCCTCTCCCTTCCTCCCCCTAGCCTAGCCCTTAAGTGCCTTTGGCACCAAAAGAGCCGTCCCCGGCCAAGAAACGCACTTTAGCACATCAGTTGGGCCTGGGTCCAAGAAAAATGGTAATAAAAGGATCGTATTTTAATTGAGAGTCCTAGAAACACCCCCCCCCCCCAAAAAAAACAGCGAGGCCAGGGAGGAAGAAGACATGGCAGCAGAAGAGACCACGGTGGGGCCCTTTGGCTGCTCCCTGAGCTGGGTGGTTTTCGTGCAGATGTTTCGTGACCCAGCTAGATAGCATCATCAGTGCTAGAAGGGAGAGGGGGTTTGAGGAGGAGGACCACAATTGTGGGATCCTTGATCCTTTCGTTTCCTTGCACACGTTTCGTTGCCAGAGTGGGGAACTTCAACATTGCTAAACAGAGAGCCAACGCCCCCCCCCCCTTCCTCCCTTCTAGCACTGATGATGTTTCCTAGTTGGGTCATGAAACGTCTGGCGGGAAACCACAAGGCTCAGTTAGCAACCAAAGACCCCACAGTTTCAACCCTGAGCGACACAGACCGTATTTTTCAGAGTATAAGACGCACCTTTCCCCTCCCTAAAAGAGCGTGGAAATGTTGGTGCGTCTTATACACTGAATACAGCCATTTTCGCCCCCCTGAAGCCCCCAGGAGCACTCTGCAGGCTTCAGCAAGGTTGGGGGGGAGGCAAAAATGCCCCCGTTTTTTGCAAAAAATGGCTGTTTTTCCATCCTTTTTTGCAAAACTGTGTTTTTGCCTTCCCCCAGCCCTGCTGAAGGTTGCCGTCTGCACCTGGGGGACGGGCAGACAAAAAACCTTTTATTTATTTCTTACTCCTTCGAAACCGTGGTGCGTCATACCCCAGTGCGTCTTATAGTCCGAAAAATACGGTGTCCTCTTCTGGGGAGAAGGAGGCCGAAGAGTCACGGGTGTCCCTGGCTCCAGAGGAAGGGAAGGGAATCCGCCAGTTGCTCTCCCTGCCCAGTTGGCGTCTGAGCGCAGCCTTCGGAAGTGCCACCTGTTGTCACCGGTTAAGGCTTTGCAGGCCTTTGTTGTGGGCTCAGCTAACAGGCCCACTTTCCCCCCCAGTTGTTCTTGTGGGTTGAAACGCCGGCTGGGCTCTGTCCTTCTGGGGGTGGGGAGGTCTGTGCGCCAGAGGGGGCCTTCAGCAGGTTCCGACCAGTCCTGGAGAACCGGCAAATGCCTCCTCTGGCTGGCCACGCCCCCATCTAATCCCTGCCTCCCGAGTCCCAGCCGATCGGGAGGGAAGGGAGATTTTGTGGTATCCGTCCCCTGCCACGCCCACCCCGCCCCGCCCATGGAATAGGTAGTAAGAAAAATTGAATGCCACCACTGCTGTGCAGACATCTGCGAGAAAGCAACTGTGCTCAGAGAACCCCAAGGACCCCATCTTCCTCCTCCTCCTCCTCCTCCTCCTCGCAAACCCCTCTCCCTTCTAGCACTGATGATGTTGCTTAATGGGGTCATGAAACATCTGGAAGAAAACCACCAGGTTTGGAGAGCACCAAGGACCCCACAGTCCTTTTCTTCCTCCTCCTCCTCCTCCTCCTCCTCCTCCTCCT